TTTTTTTGTATTTTTAGTAGAGACGGGGTTTCACCATGTTGGCCAGGATGGTCTCGATCTCTTGACCTCGTGATCCACCCGCCTCGGCCTCCCAAAGTGCTGGGATTACAGGCTTGAGCCACCGCGCCCGGCCTCTAATTTTTAATTTACTTGTAGAGATGGGATCTCTTTATGTTTCCCAGACTGTTCTCAAACTCCCGGCCTCAAGTGATCCTCCTGCCTTGGCCTCCCAAAGTGCTGGGATTACAGGCATGAGCCACTGTGCCCAGAGAGAGGTTTCCTTTCATCTTTTTTTTACTGGAAACTTCAGGTTCTCTCCTGAAGGGACAGCATTCCTTATATCCTTGTCAAACAGTCATTTTTTTTTTCTAAATTCAAACTTCCTCTGGGCCTGGAAATGTAGGAAGTGACCTCTCTGCTTTTCATTACTTCTAGATGTTAGTTTCTTCTTTCTAAGACTTCCCAGCTCCTTGGAAGCTCATGTACCAGCTGCCATCCTTCTTATTTTACTCCTTACAGCTCTTCAGCTCCGGGATCACTGTTTTCTTCTCATCGGTGCTTCTGTTGTTATTTTCAGTGGCTTCAGCATCCACACAGACAATTCATCCAACACCTGGGCCTTTATTTTCTCAACTCCTCATTTCCAAAAAGATTTGCCTTCTTGCATTTCAGCATCCCATTCCTCTGTTCATGCTTTAGATTATGTCATTACCAAAATGAAGCACCCCACTTCCAAAATCTTGATTTTGAGCCTCCCATTATCTGCTGAGCTCCTCCTGTCATTCCAACTCTGTTCCCCTCTCTGGCTCCGCCACTCCAGCATTTTCCTGACTCCTCAGGTACCCTCAGTCTTTTTACCTTCTGACATTTGCATCTTCCATCAATATCGCTTGTGTCCTTGTTGCCCTTCTCCCTCAGCTCAGGTTCTAAGGCTCCTCGTTATAATCACTGCCTCAACTCCTTTGATTTCGTCTCTCTGTCCTCAACCCAGTTAATCCAACATTTCACCTCCAGCAACTTGCCAGTTAAATCCACCTGGATGGCTGAATCTGGCTGGAGAAAAATGCACAGCTTTGTTGACTTGTCTCACTTTAAATCGATCACCACAGACCCCAAAAGGGATGCTTGGCAATGGCTGGCGGTTCTACTATGTTTCCCTGGTGGATTCATTCACCAGTTCTTTCAGATAGATGATTATTTCAGTTTGTCTTCTCTCTTTAAAGTTCAGTACGTCTTTTCACATTCTCCCTTTTCCTGAGAGGTTTGCAGACTGAGAAGGTCAGGAGCTCGAGATCAGCCTGACCAACAGGATAAAACCCCATCTCTGCTGAAAACATTTTTAAAAAATTAGCTGGATGTGGTGGTATGTGCCTGTAATCCCAGCTACTCAGGAGGCTGAGGCAGGAGAATTGCTTGAACCCCGGAGGCAGAGGTTACAGTGAGCTGAGGTTGCGCCACTGCACTCCAGCCTGGGCAACAGATCGAGACTCAGTCTCAAAAAAAAAAAAAAGAGGAAAGAAAGAAAGAAAGAAAGAAAATAGGAGCAATCAGGAAACTTGTATGAGCTCCCTTCCCTCCTGGAAATCTGCTGTCTTTCCTGTTAGGCAAATGATCCATCACTGTTCCTAAGGCCAACCCTTTGCTGGTTCCCTGGATCCCATCCCCTCTCACCTACTTAAAGACTTTTCTTTTGTAATTACTCCTGTTGCTTTTTTCTTTTTCTTTTATTTTTGAGACGGAATCTTGCTCTGTCATCCAGGGTAGAGTGCAGTGGCACGATCTTGGCCCATTGCAACCTCCCGGGTTCAAGGGATTCTCCTGCCTTAGCCTCCCAGATATCTGGGATTTCAGGCACATGCCACCGTGCCTGGCTAATTTTTGTATTTTTAGTAGAGATGGGGTTTCACCGTGTTGGCCAGGCTGGTCGTGAACTCCTGACCTTGTGGTCCACCTGCCTCGGCCTCCCGAAGTGCTGGGATTACAGGTGTGAGCCATTGCCCCTGCTGACTCCTTTCTTTCTTGCGTCATCAAATTTTCCCTCTCCATTGTATCGTACTTATCAGCTTACAACTAATATATCATTTATTTATTTATTTTGAGACAAGCTCTCACTTTGCTGCCCAGGCTGGAGTGCTG